GGCTGGCGCTGGGGGCCTGGGAGAGGAAGCTGGAAGTGACTCCCCAACCCAATTTTCTTCCGCCGCACTCCGGCTAATACGAGTCCCCAGGACCCCCGTGCTTCTCGGTGAGGGTTACTCAACCCTCTTGGACGCAGGCATCCGGGTGCTAGGAAACTGGGATGCCTGGACACCCCTAGGGGAGCAGCTTTCCTGCGGTTAATGCCCCCTTCCCAGCGAAGCGCTCAGCTGAGGCTTGACACCCAGTTCCAGAGGCTGAAACTCTCTAGGTCCCCAGCTGCCCCCCAGTCCTTCCTCTTCCCTGTGCACTTCTGCCCCGCACCTCCTTCCAAACGGCAGGCCCACCGGGGAATTTTTAGAACCTGAGAAAGATTTCAGTGCTTAGTCCCAAGTCCCCACCTGGGAGAGTGTAAGTCAGCTCTCGGGGGCTCAGTCCCTCCACAGGGTGACCCTCTACAGAAGCACTGAGGGTGGCAGTGGACATGGGTCTGTCTGCCCTCCTCTGGTGCCCTCAGAGCAGGCAGGTACCAGGGACTCTGAAAGAGAAGCTGAGGGAACCCGGAGCTTCCACTCTTCCTCTAGGCTTGCTGCTAGACGAGGGGGGCGGCTGTCCTGTCTCATGCTGCATGGCCTTGAGAGAGACCTGCCTCTTTCTGTGCCTCAGTTTCCTCCCCATGGGGGGCGGGGGGGGGGCCTCATTCTAGCTCCGAGCCTGGGGCCTCCACCCCCATGGTTTCAGGGGAAGCCACTCGGCAAGTCACCCGCCCAAAGCCGTTGAGATAGGCGTCCTGTGTGGGCTCTGGGCAGGAAATGGGCCCCTGGGCCTTCAGCAAGTGGGAGGGAAGCCGCTGAGGGCCAGCCCCGGGCTGGTGGGGACCACCTGACCTCCTGGCTGGACAAGCCAGCTGAGCTGTTTGCCTAGAAGGGGGCACAGCTGTGCAGCTGTTTGTGTTTAGTGGAGCTGCCCAGCTTCCTAGGTGGCTGGCATCGTTTGCTCCAGGCAGCTACGATCTGTAAAGTACACAGGGGCTCACCCTCCTTCCCTCCTTTTTAGGGCCTGGGACCCAGGAGCCTCCCCCACCCTCATGGTCCCCAGAGGAGATGAGCAGAGGCTGGCCAAGCAATAAAGGGGTGGGACACACCTTCATCCCTCCCTGCCCTGCAGTGACCCATGAGGCCGGTCTGCGGACACTTGTCCCACTTGGGAGGCTTCTGCTGAAAGAACTTCAGACTAAACATCTCCCAGCCTCAGCATAAAGTTGAACCTTCCCTAACTTATGCAGCCTTTTTATAAGCATATAACATCATCCAAAACTTGCAAATAAATGTGACCAAAAAAATAATAGTAATAACCCAGACGATAGTCACTTTAGAATATGCCTTTGCAAATGGTGGTGCCTCATCAGATCCTGACACCTCCCTTGGGTGGGAATCCTGTCCAAGTATTAACACTTCCTTTTTCCCTTCCGTCTTGCCCACTTCGCCGCCCCCCATGCGCGCGCACACGCACAGCTGGGGCCCGCAGTGGAGGGGATCCGCACGGTGTGGCAGGAGCAGGTATGTCTGAGACAATGTCTTGGGCCGCTGCACACATCTAGGGACCTGTTGGCTCTGAGGTCTCTACTCAAGCTTCCAGGAAACTGGGTGAGGACAGGTCAGAGGGAGAGCCTGAGAGGGGAGAGCGCGGAGGGAAGGCGGCAGCGGGCTTTCCAGAAGCAGGTGCCCGGCACTGGCAGCATCTTCCCCTCGCTCTGCCCCTCTCCCAGGGCCTCTCTCCCTGGGAGCCCAGAAATGGGCCCCAACTCCCCCACTGACTGCCTCTGCCCCCATCTCCTAGGTGATGCTTCTGGGAGACTCAGGCGTCGGGAAAACCTGTTTCCTGATCCAATTCAAAGACGGGGCCTTCCTGTCCGGGACCTTCATAGCCACCGTCGGCATAGACTTCAGGGTGAGGCGGCTGCAGGCTCTGCCTCCCAGCAGTGAGCCAGGGGCTGCGGCTCAGGCGCAGGGGCACGGCCCTGTCCTTGCCAGTTTGGGCTCTGCAGGATAGCTGTGACTCACTGCCGGGAGGGCACCAGGGCTGTTCCCTAGGGACCACAGAGGTGGACAGGCTTGAGGAGTCTGGGCCTGTTGGGTGCCTTGCCCACTACAGGATATGAAAATCAAGAGACTGAGTCTTAAAGTTGGGCCTCCAGCAGGGCAGACACATGCTGTGGTGTGAGCTGAGCTTCCTGGCCCGCAGCCCTCTTGCTCAGTGCCCCCTCGCCTGGGTCCCTTGGGCAAGGCCTCAGAACCCCACCAGCCTTTCCTGGCAGTCCAGGAAGCACAGCCCTGCACCAGGTTGGAGAGCTGGGCGGGCCAGGTGGGGAGGGAGCAGCTGGCCAGGGTCCCTCCTCTCACCTTGAGGGTCCCTCTTGAAAAATCTGCATCGGGATGCTGAGCCCTCTGAGCACTGCACACCCAAGGGTCTGGGGGAGTAAGGGTCTAACCCAGGCAGGGGGTCTATCAGAGGTTAGGTGCCCCCCTCCCAGTGGGAGGGGAATGAAGCTCCACTTAGGAGAGTTAGTGGGCAGCTGGAAGAGGGACCCAGGATGCTGGTGGGCATCTCATCTCTAAGAGCTTGGTTGCAGGATGGGACCAAGCTCCTGGAGAGTCAGACAGAAGTGGGGAAGGGGCAGGATCCTTAATTCCCAGCCCTGTGCTGCCTGCTGAGCCCTGGGGGGAGCCAGGCAGGTTCTCAGGCTCCCCTCACCCTGCTCTTGTGGGAAGAGCAGAGTTCCCAGAAGAGAGGGCTCCTCAGTGGAAGTATTTGGGGACAGGGTCCCACTGACCTGATGGGGTGATCTGCCTGGAGACACCTCTGAGGCTCACCATGCCCCCTCTAGTCCTGGGGAACCACCAGGATAGGATGTTTGCTCCTCAGTAGGATGTCAGCAGAGTGCAGGAGCCAAGACTCCCCTGTCCTCTGGCCACCCGTCCCTCTGCCCTTTTCTCTTTCAGAACAAGGTGGTGACTGTGGATGGGGTGCGGGTGAAGTTACAGGTGAGAGCGGAGGCTTTGTGCAGGGGGGAGGGGAGG